AGCATCAAGTTTTGATCAAGCATTACGTCATGTCTATAAATACACACCAGGCGGCGATTCCCAGGGGCCAAGAAACCTTGTTGATGATTTCTCCCGTAGGGGCCTGACGCGGGGCGCCCTGTTTTACTGCCTAATAAATATATCAGTCTGAAAGATTTCGGGGAAGTAATTGTTATCCAGGACATGGAGTCCTTAGAGATTTGATTTAGCTTTGCTGTAAATTATCGAACGTTTTGTTCGATAAAATGTTTGTTTATATGTTTAAGTTTATCAACTGTATTTTTACATCCATCTTATTCTCCTGATTATAGTTTTGAAATGAAACCCAAAGTTTTTCTTCATTTCTTCATCAATTTTATACGGATTGTCATTCATCCTCTTCAATTGTTAACATTCACTATTTAGATTTAACAATTATTTGATAATCAATTAAATAAATTTTTATCATCAAGAACGAAAATGTGGAACATTCGAGTGTAATGTTGGAGTTTCGAAGTGCCATTGCCATTGCGAATCTCGGCAAATCTTTGGCAACAGCTAGTCCCATCTTTTTAGTCTTTTTAATTTCATTATTTTTATGTATTCCGGGGGGGTTCATCTTTTCCTAAAGTGAAAGTCCTGAGTTCGAGTCCTGCTGCTGCAATTTTTCTTTTTCCTTGTTCAATGTTTTTTTTCTTTTGTTTCCTGTTTACTTTTCTTCTTTCTATTTTTTTCTTTTCTTCTTTTTTCTTTCAATTTAAAAATATCAAGGAATCGCAAGGAACGCCTGCTACAAGTGGATGGTTACCGTTCGGTCACTCAACACGATGACATAGTGACGAGAGGCCCCATAAGGCTTTTCGTCACAAAAGCATCGACAACGTGTACAAACCTACTTTCAATATCGATCAACGCCGTTGAAAACCCACAAGCTGGGTTAACAACAGATAAAATTGTGCAGCTTGTAAAAAGCAACAAAAAGCGATATAGTCAAACTGTGAAATTTTAAAAACACGTATGAACCTTCCGATACCGTGTTCTTTCTTGAGTGAAGCCGCCCCCATGACACAATGACGAGATAGAATGACAACAAAGCGTCTACACTCTTATTAGTTAAATTTGTGGAGAAGTTGGATGGTCAGGTTAAAGCGGCACACGTGGTGGTGGACGATCATATTAAGCTGCTTGAATGTAGTTTTTTTCCATTCCTGTCACAAGGATTTTGAGTCATTCCTGTTTGTTTTTCTTCTCTCAGTATTTCAATCTATTTGAATACATAAAAGATATATTATTATGCTCCTCTCCTTAGCATTCACGTCCCGCTCAATATCCTAGATGAGTTAAAATTAAAGGGTAAAACATACTGATGAATAAAACATTAGTTACACTGATAAATAACTGGTATTTTATGCACAGGTGTTTGATATAGAACTCATTTTATATATCACTCTACAATTAAGGTCCATACACGTGTATCTGATTGCAATGGACAGCCGTGAAAACAACCTCCTTGATGCATGCTGCATTCACTTGGAATTAATGATCATTAGCATTGCTAAATAAATCCCTTTTAGAGAGAAGTCACGAGGACGGGAGAAAATACAACTGAGATATTTTTCTTTATGAAAAATACAAAGCTATACTTATTAAAATAGAGTCATTTTCATCCGTCTGTGAATATTTACTACTAGTCAGTGTTTAATAGTAACTATTAGGGTGTAGTAGGGTAGCAAAAGGCAATCAAAACCGTGTTTGCCTAATTAGTTTGTCACATGTCATAAGCTGAACTATTTGGAGCTAATATATAGGGGATAATAGTATAGTAATAGCACAATTCCTATTTCACAGACGGATGAAAATGGCCTTCTAAGCTGCGAAGAAAAAAGTTCGTTAGCTAAATCAATCTGTATGCCGCGATCCACAATAGTACTTATTTTTTACGAACTTTACTGCGTGACCTTAGTTTTTAGTTGGCAAGTTAATTCTTCGCCTTGGCATTTCACGTACCGCTTCATATACATTACAATGTAAAACTGACTATATCATCTTTTGGGTATACAAATTGTATTTTATGCCTGAGGTGATTATTGAAAAGTCAGTTTAAAGTGAAGATTAAAATTGAATAAAGTTACGTGATGTGGCAGAAAAGAATTGTATTATTTAAACGATAAGCTAAACGCGAAATAAACTGAAGAAAAAATACATGACGAAACTAAAATCAATGAAACACAGTAAAATTGGAAAAAAGAGACTCACTATGGAAGAGAACGACGCTCTGAAAGAGAACTAGAAAACTCTAAGGGTGAGACGTTGCGTTTTTTTTTATGAAAGTAGGGGGGACCTTTAAAGTGTATGTCGACAAGCACTTGACCGTTGTGTAGAAACCGAGCGAAACGGCGCGGTTCATTTTGAAATATTTACTGCGAATTGGCATTTGCAAGAAGTTGTCAATGCTCATGATACTTTTGAGGTGATCATTGAAACGTCTTTTAACTAATGAATATCAATATTGAATAAAGTAACTTGGCAGGATAATTGGTTCATTTTAATGATAGACAAAACATTAGAAATTCTAATAATATAAGAAAAAATGAATAAAAATTAGAAAAAATTAAAGGCCATACTCAGTCTACTATACTGAAACATGACTATTTATGGAAAGGCAAACCTGACTACCTAAAGTCCACATATCAACCTCGTTTTTCAATCAAACGAACTCACCAAGCTTATCAATTTGTTAAATCTGAACCTTGTAAAACTAAAGTCATAAGGACCAAGTCAAGTGTTATAACAAAATGTTGCATTTAAGAAAACAGCTGATAAAATTTACTTGAAAGAGTTGTTACTACCAACATGGATGATTCTGAATTACCGTTTTTTTGCAGCGTGCTTATCAATTTTCTGCTAAACAGGCGTTTATAGCTTTCTAACTTTGTTGTGTTGTGTTGTGCGTGCGTTTTATTTCATTCACGACGAAATATATACCGATGAAAAAGGCCATATTTTGACTAAGCTTATTGATAATTTTCTTATACCGATTCTTTGTCAAGTTTTGAACACTTTAATGTTTAAGTCAGAATGAAGTCGTGAATACGTACGTTACATTAAATATCTAATTATAAAACGGTAAAAGCGCGTAATTTTCAATTATAATCTGCACTTTAAACTCTGGGACATTCCCTTTTGGATTCATGTACAAAATATCCGCGCGTCGCTGAAATAATTTCAAGTATGAGAAAAAACTCGCGCGCTGTTTCCATCCGCATCAAAAGGCGCGAAAAAGATTTCCAACTGTGTTTCCATTTGTTTTGCAAAGAAGAAGAAGAGAAGCTGGATGGTCAGGTTAAAGTACGCGTGGTCAGYCGTGGACGATCATTGTTCTGCTTGAAATGTAATTTCTTTTTTTCATTCCTGTCGCAAGGTTTTAATTAGTTCCTGGCCTGTTTGTTTTTCTTCTCTCAGTATTTCAATCTATCTAGTAAATACATAAAAGATATATTATWATGCTCCTCTCCTTGGAAATCAAATCCCACTTGCAATATCTTTGATAAGTTCAGTAAAATTAAAGGTTAYATTTGAGATTTAATCATACTGATGAATAAAAAATTTGTTTGACTGATAAATGAATGGTGTTTTATACACAGGTGTTTGATATAGAACTCATTTTTTATATATCACTCTTCAATAAACGTAGATCCATCCATACACGTGTATGTGATTGCAATATGGACAGCCGTGAAAATAAGCTCCTTGATGCATGATGCATTCACTTGGAAATTATCATTAGCATTGCTAAATAAATCACTTTAAAGAGAAATCACGAGGACAGAMGAAAATACAACTGAGCTATTTTCCTGCATAAAAAAATACAAAGCTATACTTGTTGCAGTAAGCTGCGGAGAGAAAGGTCGTTTACCAGGGTCGTAGCCACCAATTTTCTGTTGGTTCGGTTTTTGGAAAATAGGTGTGCGTATTTATTAATTTTATTGATATCGTATTTACATAATCTCGTGATATAAATGCTACTACTATTTGTCTCACAAAAGAACTGTTTCCAAAGCATTTTGGTGGTTGTATTAGAAACGGCAAAAAGCAAATCGTGTATTGTTTCTATAAACCTCAGAGTTTGAATGTTGCGAAGGTACATTTTCTTGTCTAGTTCTTTAGAATGTATTTTTGCACATATTTTGGATCTGGGGGTATGGACATCCCCCCGAAAAACTTATGAAATAATAACTCTTGTAAATGCGATTTCCAGCGTTTTGAGAGACTTCGAGTGCATATAAAAGGGATCAATTTTATGTGATTTCTTCAGTAATTTCTGTGAAAATTTCAATATTTCCTTTCGACAGTCAATAGTACGCACGTACATTTATGCGTAAAAATTTTGCGAAGATCGAATTAAGGTGTTTCGATCGTAATARACAGCGTTTCGCGCGAATTTTTAAACTTCAACTAYGTCGCAAATTTCGATTCSATTGCACTCAAAYTTTCACAGAAGTMACAGTGATWATCGATAATTCTTGTTGATAAATTAATTTGCCAAAAAGCGAAGCCATTTGGATAAACGATGCAAAATAAAAATACCTTCATTTCTTCTTCAAAATTAATTTTCTCGAAACTCATCGCAGAGATTGTAATAAAATTTTCAGAATTATTTCTTAATAATTCGATTTTGAGTGATATTGACAAACATTTAATGGATGTGATTTTTGCATATTACTCGAAATCGAACAGGTGAATTTGTTTTTAACTATTCCAAAACGTTATGTTGGCATTTTATCGATAAGCTTCGTAAAATGCAACGAATATACACGAAAACTCATACGAAGATCTAATCATAAGAAAACTATTGAAAAACCATTAACAGTCGGAGCGGGAGCTTCTGAAGACAAAATAAAAAAAATCTTTTCGCAAAGCTGTTTCGACGCTTTTTTATGAAAGTGGGCGTTTCTTATTATAACACAGTACAAGTWTATGAATAGTAGATGCAAGTAGCACTTGCCTCCAAATCGAAACGACTTCACTTCAGCTGTGGTTGATTGACAAAATCAAGCGAAAAACCCGAGGTAAGAGCGAGCCTGGAAAAATATGATTWTATCCTGCATGATTGATATCAAGGGGGGCAAAGTGATACTACTAAAGCAATAAAATAGAGAGGGAAAATTTGTAGAAATTCAAAACAGAAAATGATTTTTCCTGGTTCGCATCGTCTCTTAAAATATATAAAAGTAATCAGAATCTTAAAATGAGAAAAAGGAAAAAGGACCTTTACAGTCGACAGAGACTTTCAGAAATGTGAATATTATTGTATTTTATTACTAACTCTGCACCTTGTACATTATCACTTTATAGATGTTGCTGGTAATTTTCTTTCTCTTGTTGTGTTCTATCACACCAAGTTATCAAGTAAGTAAAGGGGAGATTGATATAAACTTAAACAAAACCTGTTGTTTGATGTGGATTCTATATCTTCAGTAGGAGAAGACGACGGGGTCTGTTCTTCTAAATATCTTGTACGAATTTGTTCCAGGGAAAGGGATTTTTTTAGTTTGAGCTACATTGTTGACAATCACACAAACAAATGTGTTGTCTTCCTCTTTTAAAATAATTTTGTTCCTGGCAAACGTTTTTAAGGTAAAAAAAGGCTTATATAACACTTTTTATCTGTTTATGGTCAAAAACGGCTTATATAAGTTATAGTTAGGAAATGTTTATTTTACTGTCAGAAATTCTTAGAAAGTATATTCCTTGCCTGGAGAGCTATTTTTATGAATTTCTCGCTGGCAACTAGTTGTGACTTACAGCTGGCTGGGACATAAGAACAGATATATCTTCTCCCAGGAACCCGTCGGCTTCTCCTATATCTTGTCATCAGTGAGTCCGGAACGAAGGGGTTATGACTGAATGCCACGTGTGTACGATGCCAATAGCACTGAGTCAAATTTAATAGAGGATCCATTTACTCTGGATAATTTTTCTAGGTCAGAAATTATATGACTGGTGTAACATTTGCTTTAAAGCGTGCGCATCTATAAGTTGGGTATTCCCATATCTTCTATTATAAAGGGAATTAAGTTTACTTATACCAAGATAATCTGAATGACCGTTGATCATTTCTTCGCTGGTTTTGGTCTGTGGTGGAGGTTTCTTGCCTTTCCGTAAAAAATGACGACGGTATATAGGCGTGACGACCACCATGTCTGTACTCGAGGACCCGTTGTGATAGCCAATTTAATTTTCTACTTTATATTGCGTTCTTTTCTTTGATTTCACTAACTTTCTTGAAGGAGTACGTCCCCCAAAAGGGAATTTGGAATTTGAAGGTTTCAGGGTCTCCTTGTTACATAAAGACGCTTTTACGAATTTTAGAGTAGATTTTATTTTTTTCGCGCCGTAAGCTGCAGAGATACAGTCCTCCACTGAATGGTCCAAAATGACAATAGCATCGATGTTCTGGGCTTACATCGTTTTGCTCGTCTCCTTCTGATCGGTACTGAACAAGCTGATTGGAAGACTTTTTAAAGACTTTTGTAAAGACTGCAGTATATCATTTATGGTTTTGATTTTTTAACAGGGAAGTTGGGACCCGTATCTTGACAACCTTGTTGCTCATTCAAAAGACGAAAGTGGTACAGCCCACGTTGATAAAGCATGTATCATTGGTACTGATGGTGCTCTATGGACGTCACACGGGCCAGCAAATGCAATAAAGGTATAACACAATTTCCCCGCTTTCAATCTGCTCTCATCGTTTGTCCATTATATAAATTGTTATAAAAGAAGTTGTCAAAAAKGAATTTTATTTGTGGTAATATAAATTATGCCGAAAAACTGAAGATTGCGTGTAATAGTGTGTTGGCCCTGGGTAGCTTTTAATTCGAAAGATGACTGGGAACGACCATGAAAATAGATCTGTTAGTGTTATTTTCAGCCTTGAAACTATTTGGTTGATTAATTCTCACCGAGTAGCGATCATCATATCGTATTTCTGGAGACGCTCAGCCCT